ATCCCTGGCTGCCCACCTGGAGGTAGGCGGGACTCACCTAATTAAGGGGCTCTCATGATCTGGCCCGGGGAGCCCTAAGCAGACCATTGGCCATTTTCTCTGCTGACCCGATGCACGGATGCTGTGGCCATTGGGTTCACGGGACGTCTGCTCCGGGTCTGGTGAGGGCTGGACCCTGACCAGGTGCCCCATGCAGACGTGGCTCTGCTGGGAGCCAGAGGTGTCCTCGCTCAGGTGAGACCCTGCATTTGGGGGAATATGCCTTCCCAGGAAGACACATCAAATCTGGGCTAAAGGATGATTAGAAACTGCTAGACTCTGCCTTCTGTGGCTCAGGGGAAGACCCTGAACTTGAACTAGGGAAAGGAGCCGCGACCAAAGTTGTCTGGGCCTCAGGCCTTTCTCAGAATGAGGTGGTCCTCCCTGCAGGGAGTTGCCCGTGTGCAGGTGCACCCGGCTGGTCCCCCAAGGAAAGGAGCCCCTTTTGCACCCGGAGCGCCTCCGGTCCCAGGTTAAGCAGCCTCTCTAGGCCCCTGCCTGGCTGTCCCCGTCCCAGGGCACCGTGCACAAAGGGGGTTCGAAGCAGGACAATTCCAGTCGAGGATCAAGCTTTTTCTGTCCTAAGAGGAACCAAGAAATGTCTCTGCAAAAGGAGAAGTGTGTCGCCGTGGCCCCCGGATGAGCCCATCCTGTCTCCCCCGGCTGAGGGACCGCACGCAGAGACCGTCTCTGGGCTCCAGCACCATGACCGCATGGAAGACGCTGCTCCTGCTCACCCTCCTCCTGGGGGCTTCCTTGCAGGTCGCCCGTGCAGGTGAGAGGGGTCGGGGGTCGGGGGCGGGGAAGATGGACACACACACATTTGTGTGTTATTTGCAGCTCACTTATTCCTGCAAAGATGTGAGAGGTCAGCAGCAATAGGATTTTGAGGGAGGCGTTGAGAGAAAAACGATGATGAAGGGGAGGAGGAGGAGGAGAGGAGGCTTGGTGAGGGCTCCCACATCTCACACTCCAATGGTTGTGAGCTGGTGGCTGTGATTGTGTTTCAACAGTGAAAAGTGAACAATTCTCAGAAGAATTGTCAGCGTCTGTTTAATGAATGGGTTTTCCATACCCCGAGGGAATCGGGTAAAAGCAGGAGACTCGGTTCCCAGAAGATGTGAGGGGAGGTTTTCACATTCAGTTGGGAAAGGATGGCTGAAATCAGACACAAGCTGGCGAGGGCAGCCTCGGAGGTTATCTTGTCCGGGGCCACCTTCACCTTCGGCGGCTGTGCCTGTGTTCTCACTCCTGTGAGCCCCGAGTGAGCCAGACCAGGTTACAGCCCCCGGATGGTCGAGGGCAGCCGGGCTTCTTAGAAAACACGCTGATATGGTAGTAACGAAGCCGCACGTCTCCAGCTTGTCTCTGTGCAAGTGTCAGATATTTGTCGTTGTGCAGAGATGAGGGAACTGAGCCACTGGGCTTCCGTCTCACCATCTGTCCAATGGGGGATGAAGGCACCTGTCTCAGGTGTGCTGGGGGGACCGTGTGAGCTGTGCCGGAAGGCTCAGCCCGGAGCTGGTGTTGAGCATGCACACACTTACAGATGAATACACAGACACACATGCAAGTAAGCATGCACCACTCCCCCAAACACACACAGGTACACACACTCAGACATATGCACACACACACACCCTCCCAAGCTCACAAAGATACATACACACACACACACACCCTCCCAAGCACACACAGATACATGCACACACATACACACACACTCCCAAGCACACACAGATACATGCACACACACACACACACACACACAAACACGCAAAAAAAAAACACACACTCCCAAGCACACACAGATACATGCACACACACACACACACACACACACACGAGCTCCCAAAGCCCACAGAGACCTTAGGCACACAAATGTGAGCATGTGACACACAGACACGTGCAGGCCCTCACATGCTCCCCTCACAGAGACACACTCACAGATCCTCCCATCAACACACACACACACAGACGTGCACAGCCTCCTCTCCACAGACGGACACACACACACACACACAGACAGGCCCCTGCCCGCAGCACAGGTCTCACACCTGCTCCGGCCTCTTCCTCCGCAGCTCGAGGGATCAACGTGGGCCGGGAGTGCTGCGTGGAGTACTTCAAAGGGGCCATCCCTGTGCGGAGGGTGGTGCGGTGGTACCGGACCTCGGAGGAGTGTCCCAGGGCTGCTGTCGTGTAAGGACAGACACACACAGACACACACACACAGATGTGCACAGACGCCTCTCCACAGACAGACAGACACACACAGACACACACACACTCCTCTCCACAGACGGACACACACACACACAGACAGGCCCCTGCCCACAGCACAGGTCTCACACCTGCTCCCGCCTCTTCCTCCGCACCTC